TGTTGCCAAATACAAAAGAATCAAGCAGCACTTCGGGGCCATTTGATGCGATTTGTTCCATTTTATGGAAACGTTCCGAAAATATTAATCACCTCAATGTTAAAATCAATAATTAAAAGGCACATGCGTGTGTGTGTGTGTGTGTCTATGAAACATAAGAGTGCTTTTAGCGAGACTGTACCCTGTACTCTATCGCGCTCACTCGCGCTGTCTAGGGAGCGTCTGGAATATAGCATTTGTAGCTGAAGCTCTTTGAATCTGCCTTCAGATAGATATAGCTATAAATATATGTATATAAATATATATAAATATATAATATAATATATATATATATATAAATATATATATGAAGCCACATAACATCTTTAGATCTATTAGCTTCAGAGCTTTAGCTATGATATTTATTGAACTTTTTTAACAAGTTTCTGAGGCTTTAGATCCATGTCGCAAGTAGTTAGCTACAGACATATAGACAGTCATCAGACTGATATATAGTCGCTTATGATATCTTAGCATTAAGTCAGCTTCTTGAGCTGATCTCATTAGAGCTTAAGGCTAGTGGCTAGAGTTGACTGAGCTGAATGCCCATAAGCAGGTCTTTCTCTCTCTCTGCGCTGCATGCCCCATGAGCACAGCTGTACAGGGTATGCTCATGTCAAGCTGTGTGTGTGTGTGTGTGTATCTGTAGCAGCTGACGGCAAAAGGCAAACAATTGTCACGCCCACACACACAGACACACAGACACATGTCTTGTTGTTGTGACCACAATAAAATCGAGCATACGCCCAATGGGCCGCCTCTTATCGTCCGTGCTCTGCCTCTCTCTCCCCCTCTCGCGCTTCCCTTTCTCTTTTGTTGTTGGGCCACCCACAGCTTTGGCAGCTTCTGTTTTCGGTTGCGTTCAGGTGCAGAAAAGTTATTAATGATTGTTGGTAGCTTACGCAATTTACGCTGTTATTAAAGCCGCACCCACAACTGACCCACACACACGCACACACACACATGCACGAACAGGAAGTGGCACAGTGAAAAGGACAATTCAAATTGTGTGCCTCTGCCCTTTAAGGCTGTGCTGCTTGCAGCTGGCTGGCTGGCTGCCTGCAGCGCTCTGTGGCAAAGCACTTTTCATGCTCAGCATTTGCGCAGCTGGCGGCGTCACTTCTAGGGGGGGCGTGGTGGCATGTGTGGGCGCGCCTCCATGTTGCAAGAGTTGAATTAAACAATAACAAAATAAACCGAATGGTGACCAAGCGAACGTTGTGTGCCTGCGCTCGACTAGCAGCTACCCTGTAGATGTGAATGGAGTCAGTCAACGTTTAGCTAGAGTCGAACGATAGATGGCGCTTTATATGTCTAAATGCAGGCTTAGCTCATCTCTCTTTCTCTCTCTCTCTCTCTGTCTCTCTAATTCTTCTTTCTGTTGGCTTTCTCTTGGCTCTCTTTTCCCTTACTTCTCGCTCTCTCTCTCTCTCTCTCTCTGTCTTGTGTCTTTTCGCTCTGTTTTCTCTCTCCTTTTCTCTCCTATCTGCCCTTCCCCTTCCATTTAATGAACAAATCTCTTTGATGCTACTTCAAATAGTTTTTTTTGTCCCCCGAATCAGCTTCGCACTGTAACCATTGCCTACGAGCCCATCGAGTCGCGCCCCGCCCCCACAGTTGGCAGCGCCCTTAAGCGAATTAGCCAGATACTGGAAACTAATCATAATATGCCCTCAATAGGACACGTACTTAATATTTAACTACAATTTGCCGCATGTTTTCACTTTTAACTGTCTTGCAACCTCAACCAGACTGTCGCCCTCCCTCTACCTATCACGCACTTTCTCTCTCTCTCTCTCTCTCTGTCTGTCTGTCGGCTTGGTAGACCCATGTTACAGTTAACGTAATATTCACTTTGAACATAATAATTTTACCGTCTGTCTGACTGTGCGTGTGCTTGGCTTTGGGTTCGTTTCATTTCATTTCAGCAGCAACAACAACTTGCAACATTTTGTGGCAGATAGAACAACCCTTTAAGCTGCCACAGCCATAACGAAATCGCTGAGTCCTTTGGCATTTCCATGTATTGTTTAGCTCTTGAGATCTGCTTGCAACAAATTGAAATCGAAATCCAGATAACTTTCATATCCAAGCGCCGCTGTCAGCTCACCTGCCACGCCCCCACCGCCTCTCGGGCAACAGGGTCAAAGTCAAAGCCCCAATGGCGCCTGTCAATTTGGCTTTCAATGTCTTACGCTTTTTTCTTCCTTTTTTTTTTGGCATGTATGTTTAACGATAGTAGACAGAGAGAGAGAGAGAGGGGGAGACAGAGCGGAGGAGAGAGAGCACGCTTAATCCCCTCAGGTTGCTACAAATTTTGGGCAAACCTCAAGGAACTCGGTAACTATAGCAGCTAGCTCAATGCAAGCTGGTATGTGAATTATAATTATATAAAAATAATATAATAAGAGTTTTACAGATAAATCTACTGACGGCTCACATAGTAACCTCAGCGAACTTTGAAACTGTAGCAACTGCTGCTAAGAGATTTGGTTTTTAGACTTCAAAAAACACACACAAAATTTAATTATAATTGATGCACCTAGCGGCGACATATTGCTGCAAGCTGACCTCAAGTAACTCAGGACTTCAGGCAGTTATAGCAATATAAATTGGTTGAGGAAAGAGTACATATCGAGCCAATAGAAATATCATAAGTGCACCTAGTTGTCTCTCATAAGAGCAGACTAACCTCAAGTAACTCATCACCTGTAGCAGCTACGTCAATACAAATTGGCACAAAGACTATAATAAGCTTAACAAATCAAAGTATTAAGGAAACACCTTCTAATGTCTCACAAGACCAGACTGATCTCAAGGAACTCGGAACCAGTTAAAGCTAGGGCGCTACAAGTTGCCATGTGAATGGAACTATACCTAGCAAATAAGTTTATTATAAATGCAACAAATTGTCTCTCATAAGAGCAGACTGAGCTCAAGGAACTCAGGATCTATAGCAGCGCGGGCGCTACAAATTCGTATGTGTATAAAGACACACTTAAACTTATAAATATAACAGCTACAGCCACTGCCGACCCAAGGAACTCAGCTCCTATAGCACTTCAGGCTACACAAATTGTTATGTAGCTTAAGATACATTAAATGGAAACATCCATAAACAGCCATGATATACCAATAGAAAAGCCTGAAAACTAGAAATCTATATTGCTTACTTGAGATAAGTATCAATAGAATAAGAAATCAAACTTGAAATAACTAGAACTCTCAATCTGAATCTCTCTGCCTCACGTCGCTCGCCCTCTTTGCTGTTTAACTTGTTTATGTCACTGTCGAGCAAGAGCAAAGAAATGAGAGAAAAAAAGAAAACAAAACCAATTTGAACTTTGACTGCCTGTTGCCAGTTGTCAGCTGCCTATCTCAGCCTCTATCCGAGACGCAGTCGAAGTCGTTGGGCGAGCTGATTGCACGCTTTCGGTGCGGTTAGATTAATCAGACGTCTGACAGTCGCCATCAAAGTTCTTACCTAATAAGCAAGCAGCCGAGGCCGAGCTATTTATAGATACTCTGATTGAAGAGTTTGCCAATTCTCAGAAGCGACAACTGATACTTGCGGCCTTTCATCTGATGCAACACTCCTGAGCTACCCTTGCCTCTGTGTGTCTGACGGCAACTCAGCGCCTGTTAGAGCTTGAAGGGAAGTGAAGGCCACTTTCTATATATAAAATGCCAGAGCTTTACACATGCAGGAATGGGGCTAGCTATCCAAAAAAAAACTACTTCATAGTTCTGCCTGCTTTATTCGAGCTATGCCCAACTAACTAACATTTGCTATCGATTTCAAGCGATTATCGATTATTTCAAAGAAACTTGAGCATGCGAAAGTTGTGTTTAGCTTTTAGAGGCTGGATGGAGGACAGATGAACAGCTCTTAACAGAGACTCACATGTAAAAGAGTCCATATACTCTGTGGCATCTAGCAAGCCTGCAGCCGCTTCAAACAATTGTATAGGGTATACAGACATTTAATTTCAAGCATTGCAAATGAATATACTCTTTCCGCTACCTTATGATGAACAGATGTTGCTTGACTAACAGCAACAGCAAAGGCTAACATAGCTAGGTTAACATTAACATTCGCTGTTATTGACATTTTCGGAAGTCGAAAAGTTGTCACAAAACTTGTTAAGAAAACTTTGCTAGTGCACACGACAAGTATACAGTTATTTATATAATGGCCTACCGTTAGTCGAGCAAAATTAACAGCATGTTAAGTGAATGTTAACAAGCCAGTAGAACAAGTAATCGAAGGGCCAACGAGCGAGCACTCAAGTGTTTGCCATTGGGAACTGGGTCCATTGGGGCGAAGTTGAATTGAGTTCAATCAACTGGGATGAAGAGACGAGGACCAACAAGAGCAAGCAGAAACAGCAAAGTAAACGAATTTGAAGTTAAGTCGCAGTTAATAAATTTTCTAAAAGTGGCCACAAAGATGCCGAGGCGAGATCCCTTCGAGCAGCTAACTAAATCTGTAAACTCATGTCATAATTGAATTTTCATTTTGGGCTCAGCTCGAGGCCGACGTCGATGCCGAGATTTAATAATTAAGAAATAAAAAATGCAAAATAATGGAAAGAAAACTAATTTTGGCACTCGAGTCGCGGCTGGCAACAAAGCCCTGCCTCCAGCTGCAGGTTCAGTGCTCAGTTCCAGTTCCAGTTGCTTGCGACAGTTTTAGCTCTTGGCTTAAAGCTTAAGCTACGCAATTTCGGGCTGCCTTCCATGTGTGTGTGTGTGGGGGCTGTGTGTGGATGGGGGTGTGTGTGGGGGAGTGGCAGCTAAGCAGGGTTGGCTTTGCTTGGCTTGGGGCTGTATAACAACTGCCATTTATTGGAAACTCATTAAAAAGTCATAAAAAAAAACACATTTCCCGAACAGAGAGGGGGGGGAGGGAGAGGAAGAGGGAGAGGGAGAGGGAGAGCAAGGGAACAAAGTGACCCGATTGTCAGTTGTTCAATTCAATTCGGTAACAAAAAATAAAATTCCAGAGACTATGGGAACGAAATTCAAAAATCTCCCAGAAGGGGATTCCGATCAGGAGGACTCCGATGAAGACGAGGAGGCAATACCCGACGAACAAGAAGATCATAATCTAATACGCATTGGCGTCATAGCCGATACAGTAAGCTAACTCCACTAGTAGAGCTAACTGAGTTGATAGGCGATAAGCAATGCTCCCAAGATAGATAGGAAATACTCGACTTGGAGTTGCTCTAAGTCTTGCACTTTATATTCCTATATTCTATATGGTAAACATATCATATCTCTTCCGGGTAGACATTTATAGAAATTGAATTGATGGAGAATGCTTCGACTGTGTGATATGATTTCCTCATTATCAGATTAAGCAACTTTATATAGTAAGGATAGAAGCTATTCGAAACTTCCATGCTTCCCCATGTATAGCTCAGTACTTCATACATATATCTCCCTCGTAGCCCAGGCTTAAGCTAACACAATCATCTCTTGCAGGAAGTAACTATTGGCCTACTGCTCGCCGGCGTTGGTTATACTCGTGAGAACTTTTGCAGCTATCTAATGGTGGATACTGGTTCGTAATATCTTCCAGCTCCCTAGTCCTACCTCTCTCTCTGTACATCTAATTGTATTACATTCAGGCACCACACTCGAGGAGGTGGAGAGCTTCTTTCACGTATTGTATAGGCGTCCAAATATTGGACTCATACTGATCGATTATCCGACGGCGAAGCGTATGCACCACATATTGGACAAGTGCAAGAAAGTGCTGCCCGTTATCGTCATTGTGCCCTCGAAAGGCTCCATAGGGCCCTACATGGAGGAGAAGGATCGACATCGTCGTCAACGGCAGCGCGATGCATACTAGAAATATTCCAATTGTTCTACAATAAACTCTAGCATCTGGAAAATGTCTACCGATCAAATCAATTTAGCTGTTGTAAACGGAACTAGTTCATATGAGAACCGTCTCATCTATATATATATATATATATATATATATATATATATAAAGGAAATCCCTTCTAGTGATACGGACAGTGATATTCGACTGCTATAGGAAGTAGATGTTTTTTGAACTAGTTCATTTGTGAACATCGATTCATTTCTATGTCTGATTGGAATCACACCAGTTTTTATAATCAGCTAAGCTCGTCTGCTATAAAAACTAAATTAAATATTTGTTTTTTGAACTAGTTCATTTGTGAACATTGATTCATTTCGATGTCTGATTGGAATCACACCAGTTTTTATAATCAGCTAAGCTCGTCTGCTATAAAAACTAAATTAAATATTTGTTTTTTGAACTAGTTCATTTGTGAACATTGATTCATTTCGATGTCTGATTGGAATCACACCAGTTTTTATAATCAGCTAAGCTCGTCTGCTATAAAAACTAAATGAAATATTTGTTTTTTGAACTAGTTCATTTCTGAACATTGATTCATTTCGATGTCTGATTGGAATCACTTCAAATGTTACAATGAGCTAAGCTCGTCTGTTTGAAATTTAGTATTTTGAACTAGTTAATTTGTGAACAATGACTCATTGTGATAAATCTGACAGCATTTACTTCTGCTGACTTCCTATTGCATTCCAATTAACACACTTAAGCAAATTACTAGCTCTTATACGCACTCTTCTACACAGTCTTATATTACTCTATGTGGTCAGAAATTGGAGCTTTTGCAATTGATTTCTGCACATTGGCCCAGACAAGACTGGGCATCTAATTGAATCATAGCGATTAGACGCTTCGACGAGCCCACCTCGGTGGCTCACCTGTGTGGCTCACCCTTAATGGTGGCACTGGTCATGTGCGTAATTTATGCGCATTCGAAATGATGATGGCCAACGATTCTTGCTCACGAGCATGTCTGCAACTGAGCTGTGCCGCAGTAAGACTAAATAAATCACAAGCCCAGCCAGGTAAATGGTGCCGTGGCAGCTGCAGGTGCAAACAGAACACGCACGTAAAACTTGGCAAATTTGTTGGCAATTGCGAGCGAGGCGTGAAACAGGATAAGATCTGGCTGGTGTGCGTGCTGTGAGATGAGTGTGTGTGTTATGAGTGTGTGTGTGTGTGTGCGTGTGTGTGTGTGTGTGTGTGTGTGTGTGTTGTACGTATGATTGGCAAATGTCTGCAATTAATTTTGTTAGTCGCGTAAAAGTGAATTAGCGTTAAGTCCCCAGAGACAGACGCTCACACACAGCGTGAGAGCTTAGTGACTGGTTGGCCTAATGCCTATTGACACGCCCACGCCCACGCCCACGCCCGAACCGCCCCTCTTGACTGGCAGTCAGCAGATTGTGGCTTGTGCCGTTGTCTTTGGCCTCAGCTTTGATTTCGTCTTCATCAAAACATTAAAGCAGCAACAGAGGCGAAGTCCGGAGCTGGATCGGGAGCTGGAGCTGGTTCAACAGGTCGCATGCGTAAATTTAATTACACTTATAGCTAAGTTGTTAAGTTCATTGAGTCAGCGGCGCCAAGTACCGGGAACTGATTTCGCTTCCATTTTCATTAAAAACGTCAGCGGACTGTAAACGAGACGAGACGCATTCGCTTTGATATTTGAAACAGTTCCAGGAAATTATGTGTGCATCTCTATAACAACAAGCGGAACCAGTTGCAAAGAACATTTTCTCTTTGTGTGCTCAACACGAGGATTTAAATTGGCAAACGTATTAAAGTCGCAATATGAATTAGAGATTTGGAACCAGTTCCATTATAATGAACCAGTTCATGAACTCTAACCCAATATACTACAAATGTATGCTCAAGTAAGTTAAATGCATATATCTGCCAATCAGCTAACCAGTGAACCACTAAATGAACTAGTTCATGAACTTTTTTCAAATGGTCCTATAAGTAAAAGTAAGTTGACTACATGAAATCAAAGTTGGCTCTTATTCATTGCTGCACAATGAACTAGTTAGTGTACATGAACATGAACCACTCTATGAACCAGTTCATAAATTTTTACCGACGCGTCCAGCGAGCAAACGCCATTATAAAATCAAAGCTAAATCTTTTTTTTAAATTTTTTTAAGCATTGCTTGAATGTTCTTTTGAACCAGTATGTAGTCTCTTTTATATTTTATTCAATAGATGTCTATATGTACATATATATGTGAGCAAATTAAGGTAAGAACTCCATTCATGCAACTTAATTATCAGTTTACATTCTTTGTATATAAATAATTGCGTTCCAACGAACTGGTTCAGCTCACATTAAAATAGCAGAGGCAAATGGAATTTGGTTTTAAATAATGCAGCACAAAAGCGAAGACTTAACATACTTCAATTTGACATTACAAGCTTTTGCTTTTCAGACATCTTTCGCCCTCTCGCCTCCTCTCTTTCGCTCCCTTTCTCGCCCTTTCTCTATCTATGACATACGGAGTTAGATAACAAAGGCCGCATCGCATGATAGAAACTGAGAACAAAGAATTACACAACTGGAAATGTATAAAAGAATATACAATAAAAAAAAAAAAAATATATATATATATATATATATATGACAAAGAAGAAGCAGAGAAGTGAATGTATAATTTGATTTTTGAGGCACCGTAGTTAGCTTTCACTTAGGAGCAAAGACAGCTGCACAACAGTTGTATAAGGTTTGAATACCCTGTAAAAATGGAACGCTTGCTTAAACAAACTTAGCCTAAAGGGATTTCCAAGTATTATCAAATCAAAACGGCTATGAACTACGAACTAGTAACTAGCCTAGCTGGCTGCCAGACAGGGTATGGGCTAGTCGAGCATGCTCCAAACGAAATTTTGCCAGCTTATTGTTGTTGCTTTATGGGATTTGGCGTATTGTTGCCGCAGCTCAATTTCCATGGACAACATGCCAACTACGTCACGGCCTTTGGCTGCACAATTGTAATACACACACACACACACACACAAAGACACACACACACACACACACACACACACACACACACTCGCACACAATGGGTATGAATGGGGCTTAAGTGGCTGGAATTGTTTTTACATTAAAATATCATTAATTTTGATGCGTTGCCTCCAACCCTCACACACACACACTCACACACACACACACATGAGAGAGTCTCAGTGTGTTTGGCTCCTTGTGGACGCAGGACTTTAGCTTCGTATGCATAGAAATTATTTATGCAAACAACTTTAAGCAGCAACAACAATGAGACAAACAACAATCAAGTGTGCGCGTTAAGTAGCACACATGCCACACCCACACCCACGCCCACACACACACACACACACACACCTACACCCACTCACGCATAACTTCAAACTCATGAACTGTAATTCAGCACTCGAACAATTCGCTGGCTCCAAATTTTCCAATTGTGTGAAGCATTTCAACTCAAAGCGCCATTCGAGCCCGCCCCCATGACAGCCAGACCCCGCCCCAAAAAGTATGCAACAGTAGAATACTTTTGCAATTGAAGAAGAAATATTTGAAAGTGAAAGGAAATTGTATAGCTCCAACAGCGAGCGAAGGCGGGGGCTAAGCACGTTTGATACACAGCTATATGCATATTATATATATATATATATATATATATATTAGTTGTGTATATATATTTGAAGTTTTTATATTTTTCATAGAATCTGCTGCCTTCATATCAATTTCGCATTTTTTTCTATACATTTTCTAGCGATATTTGTACATATATAATTTCTGACCTTGTTCATAAAAATAGTAGTGTCGCACTACTATTTTTATGAACAAGGCTGTAATGTTGAAGCACAAAATTTAACGACATACGCAATATTTTGAAAACTATGATTAACATATTTCATATGAATTTAATTGTTTTTTTTTTTTAATAACTTGGGAACATGTGCACTTCACGACACATAAATGAACAAAGTTCTGTTGTTCATAAAAATAATAGTGGCCACTTAAAACGGTATAACAAAAAGTATTTAACATTAGTCCAAACAAAATGAACGCAAATTTTTATTTTACTGCGCAAAAATAGTTTTCGCTTAGTTTCAGCTTTGTATTTTATTTCACTACTATTTTAATGAACATAACTTTTTATATATTATATACTTTTTATATAATCTACAACTTTCATATTAAATTCGTACTGTGCGATTTCCCAAGATAAACTATTTAAAAAAAAAATTATTTAAAAATCAAAAACATATTTTCTTATTTTTATGCCTCTTTGTAAATATATATATGTATATATATATTGTATACGCATATAATAAATATTTTCCCTTTTCATATTTTACGTATCATCAACAAGTTTCATATTAATTTCGTATTTTTTTAACCCTATTTTACAGAGCGTTTTACAACACTTCGTTTTTCTTTTCTTTTCGTTCTTTGCGTTTTGATGCGCTTAAAGCTTTAAAGTGCAGGGTCACACTCAGCAGTGTTACCTTGACAATGCATACAAGCAAAGGCGTGTGTGTGGGTGTGCAACTGTATGTGTGCAAAAAAAATATCGCGCAATAAAAAATCAAAAGGAATATGCCGCTAATATTTTTCGATTTGTTCCCATTTTACTGTGGCCGTGTGTGTGGCTGTGTGTGTGAGTGTGGGTGATTGTGTTGTTGTTATTGTGTTTTTACTGCTGAACACACACACACACACACATGCAAGTAGCTTAATCTGCCAATAACGAGATATACACACACACTGCCAGCAAAGTGAATCCAGGACGAGGGCGAGGACGAGGTCGTGGCAGTTGCTGGGCGTGTGGGTTGCTTGGACAGCGGGACGAACGCTCTCAATTGGCTCAGTAGCCCGTGCAATGGCTGAGTGCTTGGCTACATTGACACACAGCCCACCTAACCAACTGCCAGCCACCGTGCCTCACCTGCCGCCTCTCACCTGCCTGGCTTATGCGCTTCGTTGCTCTGCACACACTTACACAGACACAAACACGCGCAC